CTGCTGGATGCGGCTACTTCAGGTTGAGGGTCTAAATACGAATATACCCAACTCTAAACCCCTGAAGCCTAAACACCCACATCCTCAAGCTTAAACAGCCCTACACCCCTACAACAATGTGAGCCCTGAAACCTGCAAGACCCCTGCACCATTAAACCCTAAACCCTAGACCCTAGACCCTAGACCCTAAACCCTAAACCCTAAACCCTAAACCCTAAACCCTAAACCCTAAACCCTAAACGCCACAGCCAAGTGCACGGCGCGCGGCACCATCATCTTCATGACCGCTGAGGGCACCTCGGGCACTGTGTTTAGGGTTTAGGGTTTAGGGTTTAGGGTTTAGGGTTTAGGGTTTAGGGTTTTAGGGTTTTAGGGTTTAGGATAAGGAGGCGCCATCACTTTAAGTATACTCCACTTGGAACTGCGACAAATTCTCCCTTGGGATCCACATAACTTCCTAAGGAAGCTATAGCCCACAGTTCTTAGTGGCGCAGATGCGCTCACTGGCTTAGGGCGTGGTGGTTACGGGAGTTTAGGACTTTGCGGTTTTTTGAGGGGACTTGCGGTTCAGGGGTTATGGGGTTTAAGGGCTTGGGGTCTCTACAGGATTTGGGGCCTTAGAGTTTAAGGATTGCGGACCTCAAGGAAAGCATCGGGCGCCACGTCTGGACGTTAAGGAACCAGAACATTGAAGAGCTTTGTTGCTTAGGTTTAGGAATTTCTCTTGGCTGTCTTTCGGGGTTTAGGGTTTCCGCACATAAGCCTTCAACCCTCAGAACGCTCCAGGCAGACAACGGCTTTGGGGTTAGGGTCAGCCTTGGGGTTAGGGGTCTAGGGGTCTAGCGGTCTATCTAGGGGTCAGCGGTCCACTTCACATCGACCCCTTTGGCCCCTTAAGCCCTTCAGCCCTGCACGCCCCAAAGCGTTCAAACCCTCAAGACCTCAACCCTAAGCCCTAAACCCTCAAAACCGAAACCTGAGCCCTCAAAGCGCGAAGCTGCCCCCTAATTAAACCCTAAACCCTAAACCCTAAACCCTAAACCCCAGACCCTGAACCCTAAACTCCTAAACCCTAAGCCACCAAAAAAGCCGAGACAAAGGGCGGCTCGGCTCGGCAGAGGCTTCGGCGCCATGGCCGAGGCGCCCTCCCCCCGAAGGCGGGGGTAGGCTTAGGGTTTAGGGTTTAGGAGTTTAGGGTTTAGGATTTAGGGTTTAGGTTTTAGGGTTTAGGGTTTAGGGTTACTGTTTACGGTTTAGGGCTTAGCTTTCAAGTGTGTGGGGCTTGTGTTCACTTTCAAGTGCTGGGAGGGTGTTTCGGGTTCGGTTGTAGGTTTGGGTAGTTTGGAGTTGCTCTGGACCCTAAACTCCTTAAACCCTAAACCCTAAACTCCCTAAACCCTAAACCCTAAGAGTGCTGTTGCCAGGAGCTGCTTCTTCTTCTAAGCAGCCGCCTCGCTCCCTCATACCTTAGCTATAGCTCTCCATTGGCTCATAATGTGGGGGGCTAGGAGTAATTCTGGCATAGGGCTTCGGTGGCTTATGTCCGATTTGGGGTTTGGGCTGCATGGGTACTTGTGGCATTGCTGCGCTAAGTTTCTGAAGTAGAGCTCCGCTTCCGTCATGCTGCGAGCAGCAAAGAGGGCCATCGAGACTTCAACTCAAATTTCACTCCGCTACTATAAACCCTAAAAACCAGTAAGCCCAACCAACAACAGGCTTTCTCTCTAATCCTGGTCAGTCCGGGGTCCTAGGACGCGCTGCTTCACGCTGGGAACTCTCATGACGCCCCCTCCTTCAATTGTGCGGCTGAAGAGGGCTTACATCAAGCTCCCGACAAAGGCGCCTAAGCCACCCTGCCGAAACCCAACTGAAGCCACAACAAAAGGTGGTGGGTGAGCGCATTATGCTGTTTCACCTCTTGCGCAGAATGATATTCTACTATTCCATTCGTCTATTCTTATACTATTCCTTTATCATATTTGTTGTATGTATGACGGACCTAGACTCAAACCACCCGGCAGCAAGTACGCTTGACAAAGCCAAAGAATGCAGAGCTGTGTTAGCCGTAGGCGGCAGCTGCAGCCCAAACCCCAGAATACCCCCCAAACAGTTCCGGAAGCCCACGACTGATCCTGAAGCTTCAGGGTTTAGGGTTTAGGGTTTAGGGTTTAGGGTTTAGGTTTAGGGTTTAGGGTACTTCATGCCCTGTTCTACACTCGCTCCTTGAAGCTGTTCGAGAGCTCATCTGCCTTGCCTTGCAGGCCTAAAGTACAGCAGCCAGCTTAGGGCTTGCCGGTGTCCCTTAAAGAGGCACTCACGCCTGATTCACTGTCACTTCTGAGAGATCAACTGCTCTCCTCAGTATACGAACATACCATAATGATACAGAAGAAACACCATCAATACGTGTATTACTATCAGAGCAATATGGTCATAAACGATATATCAGCTTAATCTAAGATTTCAATTTCTTGGGGGGTTGCTTGAGGGTTGCTGGTTTATGTGTGGCCGCGGGCCCGCAAATCCAGAGCAAAGCAACTCTGCTGCCATGCTCAGAATTATCACGGCAACGAGCAGCTCTTCATACTTCTCAGGCTCAGATCTCGTCTGCCTCACGGGTTTGAGGATGGTTTAGGCGTTAGCAGCGGTTGAGGGTTTGGGGTGTAGACCCTCAGTCCGTCATGTAGACTCAATCTGAAGCCGACAGTTCACGGCAACCATGCCAGTGATACTTCTGGGGGGCAGCATTGGGCATCCGCATCGTCTTTGATGGATCCGGAAAAAGGGCTGGTTGCAAGATTGCCACTTGCCTGCTTCCACCGTTCAGCATCGCGGTCTCAGTCCTCAGTCCTTGCCTGGTGGCTATCTTCTTGCCTCGACTTTGATGGCCCTGTGCGACCAGAGAACCGAATGTCAGGTGTGCTGCACATTCTGGGGTGGTGCCAATCTGCCATGGGTGGTAGCGAACCGCAACTGCCTGAACCTCACCAAACTAAACCCGAAACCCCAAACCCCAAACACTGAAACCTCAATTCCTGAAACCCCAAATCCCGAAACCCCAAGCCCTAAACCCTGAAACAACCCTCAAACCCAAAACCCTAAACCCAGAAACCCAAAGTTGGTCCTAAACCCTCCAACCAAAGCTCCCTAAACCCTAAAAAAACCCTAAAACCCTAAAGCCCTAAAACCCTAAAACCCTAAAACCCGAAAACCCTAAACCCCTAAAGCCCCTAAAAACCCCAAAGCCCTAAAACCCTAAACCCCTAAAACCCTAAACCCCTAGAGCCCTAAACCCCTAAAAACCCTAAAGCCCTAAAACCCTAAACCCCTAAAACCCTCAACCCCTAAAGCCCTAAACCCCTTAAAACCCCAAACTCCTAAACCCCCTAACCCCCTAACCCCCTAAACCCCTAAACCCCTAAACCCCTAAACCCCTAAACCCCTAAACCCCTAAACCCCCTAAACTCCTAAAACCCTAATAAAACCCTAAACCCCTAAACCCCTAAAAACCCTAAAAACCCTAAAGCCCTAAAGCCCTAAACCCTAAACCCTAAAACCCTAAACCCCTAAACCCTAAACCCTAAAACCCTAAACCCCTAAAACCCTAAACCCCTAAAACCCCTAAAAACCCTAAAACCCCTAAAACCCTAAAACCCTACAACCCGAAAACCCCTAAAATCCCCAAAGCCCTAAAACCCTAGACCCCTAAAACCCTAAACCCCTAAAACCCTAAAGCCCTACAACCCTAAACCCTAAAGCCCTAGAACCCTAAAGCCCTAAAACCCTAAAGCCCTAAAACCCTAAAGCCCTAAAGCCCTAAAGTCCTAAACCCTAAACCCTAAAGCCCTAAAACCCTAAACCCCAAACTTTCTCGGCATTTGGGAAGTCGGAGGCCTGCTCGGAGTGCTCATCGCTGAGCCTGGCTCGACTATTGAATTTTAGGGTTTAGTGTTTAGGGCTTAGGGTTTAGGGTTTTGGGGTTTAGGGTTTGGCCGAGCAGAGGTTCAGGGGCTGAGGGTTCGGGGTTGAGGGCTTGGGGTTTAGGAGTTTAGGAGCTTAGGGTTTTGGAGTTTAACGTTTAGGCGGTTTAGGGTTTGGGATTTAGGGTTTGGGGTTTAGGGTTTTGGGGTTTAGCCTCCAATGTTTAGGCTTGAGAAGGTTAGCGGGTTCCGAGCTTAGGGGTGGGTGCTTAGAAGGTCAGAGGCCTCGAGGGTATGGGATTCAGGGCCGAGGGGTTTGCAGCTTAGGCTTGCTTAAGGAAAATGAGCCTGGATGGGTTTAGGGTTTGGGGTTTAGGGTTTAGGCTTTGGGGTTCAGGGTTTAGGGTTTGCGGTTTAGGGTTTAGGGTTCAGGGTTTAGTTCTACTGAAGATGCCGACTGTTCAGGGACTGCGGGCTGCCAGATGTAGGGATTGAAGAGGTTAGCGTTTAGGGTTTGTAGGGCTTCAAGGGCTTAGATGATGCCATGGTTAAGTTCAGGCTCATAGGGTCATAGGGCTTATGGCGCGAAGCTTAGGTCAACCACGCGGCGGAGGCCCCCCCATGTTCCGAACCCCCAGCCCACCCTGTATCCCCTCTCCCCCAAACAGCAATCAATCCGAAACTCCTGCCACACCAATCCAAGCGCAAACCCCAAAAGCCCCAAACATCGACCCTAAACCGGACGCAAGCAAAGTAGGCCGAGCGTGCGAGGCTCAGCAAGCAGCTCAACAAACAATGCATGCCAAACAGAAGGAAGCGCTCCTACTTCTGAGGGCCGCGCAGAACCAGACTAAACCACGCTGGGAGACTGCAAGCACAATTGGCTCACAGGCTTAGGGCAGCGAGAAGCTTATGTTCCCAAAAACACCACATCCCAAGTCTGCACAGACAGCAGGCCGGCATCACAGGAGGACGGGCAAGAAGGCTTGACCGGCGAAGGCCGAGGATGGTGCTTGACTGACTCAAGTAGAGGCCAAGGAGCTACCCAAGCGGAGGCCCCTGGAGGCTTGCCGAAGAATACTACAGTCCCGACGACTCGAGCACAAGCTCTGCTGACCGCACCGGGTCATTGCGGGCGGCCACATGCAACTCAGCTCTCCTGCGGAGAGTGGCTCGGGCGCGGAAGCCCCGGATGCACACGGAAAGTTCCTGGAACATGGTGGCCGTGAGGGCGGCGCAGTCACCGCCTTCACGGGCTGCTGTAGCTGCTGCGATCAGCCGCAGCACGCGCGCAGCCCCCTTGTCCCACGCCCCGGTAGTTTCGGCCACCATGGGAATGAACTTGACTCCCTGCACAGTGCAAACAGCCGCAGTATCATGGTGGCTAGCCTTTACTGCCGCGTAAGCAGCTGCCGCGCTGACAGCTTCAGCAGCTGCCTGGGGGAGGGACTCCATCCGCTGGGGGCCAGTGATGGCAAAGTCGAGAGCGGACGGGGTCCCCTCCAAGCAGGGGATGAAGATGTCAGCGGGGCGCTTGCGCGCCAGATGGCTGTCCTCGGGCCGTTGCGGCAGGAGAAGGTTTGGCTTCTCCTTCTCTGGCTGCAGACCTGCTCGGGTGGCCCACGAGCACACCAAATCCCGGACAGCGTTGTGATGGAGCGTGCGCTCCCCACCTACGGAGCAAACGCCAGCGTGGTGGGAGTAAGCATCTAGGACGCTGTCGCAGCGAGGGCACCACACATCATCCGTGGCCTCGGGAATTCCCAGCCGGAGACGCAGCTCCGCCACGAAGGCAGCTGGATCCATGCGACCACGCTCACGGGGCACAGCGGCCAAGAAAGCCCTGGCGCCCACCTGCGTTTCAGAAAGCAGGAAGGCTTTGGCAACCGGAGTCGAGCAAGAAAGCTGGCGCCGCCAACTGGCATCATCCAGGAGGTCACAAAGCTCACCCTGGCGCTTTGCCAATGCTGCTGAGCCTGAAAGGGGTTGGGCCAGTTGTGCATTCAACAAGACAAGCGCTTGCCTGACCTCAGCCGTCTCGGACAGAGCAGCAGAGTCGAAGCCAGCATCGAGCTGTTGGCATGCCGAGGCGACACCACCGCGCGAGGCCAGGTAGGCAGCGGGTGCGTCTACCACAGCTTGGCGCAGGCCCAGGCCTGCTTGCGCGAAACCCCGGCCGGCTTGTTGCCACTGCGTGCGGTTGAGGTGCAAACCAGTGAGCGCAGCAAAACAGTGGCGGCTCCTGGTGTCGAAAGCTTGCAAAGCCGCATGCTGGGCAGAGGGGGGGTTGCAGCGCATGACATGCACCAGGCGACTGTGGCTGGCGCATGAGCGGAGAAGGCGCAACCCTATCTGAGGGTCACGCAGTTCTTCTAGAGCAGAAAGCAGCTGGCCGGCAGCATCAACGCGTGCCTGGGTGCTGGCGTTGACATATTGGGCGCTCCCAAAGGCCGCTCCCAAGAGCTCGAACTCATGCAGAACCCGGTCCCGGCCATCTGCATCGGTCACAAGCTGCGCAGGAAAGTCTGCAATTGCTGCACGGGGAGTCTGGCCAACGAGAACAACTTCACACTTGGACAAGTTGAGCTGCAAACCAAGCTCTCGCCCACGCCGCAAGACATGTCCCAGCGCTTCCAGGACACTTGCTGTCTTGCCCGCCAGGACGCCATCATCCTGGAAGAAGGCAGCTAGGTCTAAGGGGGCTCCACGCTAAACCCCAGTCCTTAACCCCTAAACCCTGCATCCTAAACCCTAAGCCTTACAAGCCCTAAACCCTAAACCCTAAAACCCAAACCCAACTCCTCGTCCTCTAAGAAATCTCCTTGGCCAGCCTCATCGGCTTCGTTGTAGCCGCCTGCTGCTCAGCCGCACTCTCTCTAGCCCTAAGTCCTACAGTGTTACAGGGATTGTGGAGCTTCAGATGTCGGGTTGAGGGTCGACCAGGGTGTAGGGTCTACAGTGTCTACAGATTTTAGGGTGTAGGGTTTAGGATTTAGGGTGTTTAGGGGGTTTTGGGGCTTGGGGCACCAACCTTTGAGAACAATTGAGTTGGGGGTCCAAGACTGTAAGATTCCCAAGCCCCAAATCCTTAAGAGTTCACCCAGTTCACCCCCAAAGGACTTGGGGGTCTTGGGGTGTTGGGGCATTTCAGGGGTCTTCGCCGTGCCACATCCCAAACAGCTTGAAACCCTAAACCCAAAACCCCTAACCCTAACTCTGATATCACAAGGCCGACTTCTTCACATCCAAACAATCTCCAAGCCCTCGAAGCCTTGAGCCAAGAACATTCTCTAAAACGCAGGCCTGGTATCCTGCTCCCTGCCAAAAGCCTGCAACCCAACACTTCAACCGAGAGAAAGGCTTCAACCCACAACTTCGAGGGATAGAAGGTGCCTACGATGCTCAAGCAATTCCTTGTCGTTCAGAGTGTGAAATCATCCAAAAGCCCCTAAACCCTAAACCCTAAACCCTACACCCTACACCCTACACCCTAAACCCTAAACCCTGAGCAAACCCTAACCCCCCCCAAAAAACATTCCCCAAAGGCTGCGGCCTGAAAGCCACTTTGACAGAACTTAGGCCAAGCCTGTATCGCGCGCGGGGATCGCAATGGCAATGCGATCCTGTAGGAGGCACCCCGGCCCTTCAGATGTAGAACCGGGCTTTCGGGTTTGGGGTTTCGGGCATAAAACCTGGGGCTTAAACTTAGGGTTTAGGATGCAGGGCTTAGGGTTAAATTGTGGGGCTTAGGGTTTAGGATTCTTTGGCCTCTAGATTTTAGGCTTTGGTAGCCGAACAACATTGAGGCAATTCAACAAGGGTGACGGAGAGACCCTTGCTCGCCGATTTCTGGGTTTGGGGTTTAGGGTTCAGGATTTAGGGCTTTGGGGTTTGGGGGTTGGCGGTTGGGGAAGGAAAATCTCCGGTAGGCGAAAGGGAACTTGCTCGACTGCGAGAAGAAAAAAATAGCAGCCCCACACCTGAATAGCCCTGGGACATGCCACCGATTGGGGTTTAGGGTTTGGGGTTTAGGGTTTAGGGAAAAGGCAAGGGTTTAGGGTTTAGGGTTTAGGGTTTAGGGTTTAGGGTTTAGGGTTTAGGACATACCAACGACCTACCCAGCGAACTGCTCCACGTCCTGCTCATTCTTGTAGGAGATCAATGATCTCTGCTTGTGAAGCTTGAAACCTGGCGGTCAAAGCCGAGAAGCCCTATACACCTTACGAATCCTGCAAGCCCTCTAAGCCCTACGAACCCTCTAAGCCCTACAAACCTACACCCTACAAACCGTCTAAACCCTCTGAACCCTCTCAACCCCCTAAACCCCCTAAACGACCACCACCGTATTTTCATGTCAGTTCAGTTTTGGCGCGACTTGGGGAGTCTGGTGTTCCGATTTCGAGGGCTGCCTTGGGGTAGCCACCTGTTCCCGATTTAGGTTTCAGGGGGCCGAAGGCTTGGGAAAAAGAAATGCGCATCTGGGTAGGGTGTAAGGTTTAGGGATGGGTTGAGGGTTGAAGGTTTAGGGTTTAGGGCTAGGTCTTAGGGGGGAAGCATGTAGGGAGGGGATTTGTGCCTGACCGCTAAGCTCTCGCGTTTGAGAGACTGCCCTCATCACTTCAAACCACCAGGGGCCAGAGACTATGTTTAGGGGTTAGGGTTTAGGGTTTAGGGTTTACTTAGCGTTCAGGATTCAGGGTCTAGGGTTTCGCTGGATTTGGTCTTTCTCAAGTAGTTCCTGTGTAGCGGCCTTCTGCAGGGCCAAAGTCCGAAAACTCTTCAGCCTAGAACCATTACTACTGCTTGCTTAAGAACCCCGCAACAATGAAAGACAATAATCTCTATTATATTACGCTGCTAGGAAGAATATTTGTTATTGTTTGGGGGTCTTGAATCTTGGGTTTTAGGGTTTTCAAACCCTCGCCATCAAAAACCCCCGACCCAAAAACATCCCTCCAATCCTCATGATGATCCGCTTGCGGAAAAATGGAGAACATCGTCAGGGCCTCAACCATAGGCCTCAACCGTAGGCCTCTGCCAAACTGAGAGCGTGGCCAAATACTCTCGGTTGAAATGGCCTGCGCCCAGTCTGCACAGAGCTTGTCTGCATGGGGCATGGCAAAAGGCACGCAGGTTCGCTTCAGAATCGCAGATCCCAAACAGACAGATAAACCAAAACACAAGTCTTGACTGCTTGATCATCATGAATGGCCCCTGGCCGTGCACTCTTTCTGAACGTTCGCAACACGCCAGGGCTTGCGAAACAAAAAGGCCGTCCCAGCTCTGAGACGCAGAGTTCTTCGAAGTTCCCTGGCGGCTCAAAGCCCCAACCTTCGGATGCCTTTTAGTCTCCTCCCGGATCCTACAGGCTGCGACGAAACAGGCCGGAAGTATTGGAGCAAAGTCTCGCGAGAAGCCAATTTTCTGAGTGCTGGGTGTAGGGAGTGTAGGGCTTTTATGGATTTCTGAGAGATCGGTGTTGAAGAGCACGAGGCCACGATCATCGGAGAAGATGGAACCTTGTCCCATCAGCTAATGCAGACGTCCGAGCCCAAGCTTTCAATAGGCTTCGGCTTTGGATTTACGGTTTGCAGGGTTTAGGGTCTGGGGCTTCGGGCTTGGGCTTAGCGTTGCTTTGTCGCCCTTACCCTTACTGCCAGTGCCTGGGGATGTCAAGCGGCATCAGCGACGGGTAGGTCTGCAGAAAGATTTGCGGAAAGGACCTGCCAAAAGGAAGACCAGAGTTGGGTTCATGCACACCCCGCCCCCGCTAAGCCCCCTAACGCCCCCAAAAGGGCCCTCAAGGGTGCCCTTATCCCTAAACCCCCCCAAACCACCCACAAATTCCAAACCCTAAGCCCTATAAACACTAGAACGCAGGAGCCGGAACTTAGGGCCCGGAACCCCTGAACCCCTGAACCCTAAACCCGCAAATTCTTGCAAATTCCCAAGAGTGCCGGCAGCACATCCCGAAGTAAGCGCCATCGACCTCCCTGTACTTGCTCTTTGCGGAATACACCTGGCGTTGAGAGCAGGGTGCAGGCTGCTTAGCTCCTCTGAGGGTTTTGGGGACGACGTAGAAACGCTCCCAGAGGGGATGTGCACTTCCGGGCCTCTGGAAGAATCCGATAAGCAACTCTGATAAGGGGTTTAGGGTCTAAGGTTTAGGGTTTAGTGTTTAGGTTTTTGCTTGTTGTGCATTATGCGTCTGGGTCTATGTGGTCGTGCAGTGGTCGTGCTATGTGGAGCTCAATGCCAAACCCGAATCCCAAAACCCCCGCTCGGGTCAGCAGGCGGGGCCAAAGCGATCCGGCCTGTTCGCACTTTGGGCAGAACATCTTCACCTGGAGGCGAGGGCCCTTCGTTAGGTTTAGGGCTTTCCGTAGGTAGGATAGAGGGGTGGATTTCTGCATCTATGCCACCTGACTTTGAGTCTTGGGGCTCCCAAGAGACCAGAAGAACTTTGAATGAAGCAGTGGCCGCAGCCCAACGATTACAACTCCAGACAACACAGCGCAGGCTGCTGGGCTGTGGGGTGGACTTGAAGGGACCTCAGGCTGCGGATCGATGGGCTGGGCTGAGAGGAAGCATACACCTTCTGAAGCACTTGTGAGCCCTTGAACTCTTAGACTTAAACCTATGAACCCTGAAACCCTCTAATGTTGCACAGGCTTTAGTTTATGCAGGGTCTATAATCACACGTTTCGAAAATGTATTCTGCGATATCAGTTTGTTGCGGTGACACCCTATTATCACAAGTTTTTTGTTTTTTTCTCCGGACGGTTGTTTTGTTTTAAGGGTTGTGTTTAGGGTTGAGGGTTTACGCAGTATTCCATGTAAAGCCTTATTGTCTCATTATGAAACGAGGCCCCAAACAAATTTGTGATAGGTAGTCCACGGGCCAGCCCGATTCGCTTTAGTAGGCGTGTTTGGGTACTTGCTATAATCACAAGTTTTTGGCAGATTTTGTTCATTCCAGGCCTCTAAGGGGCCTTAATGCCCTAGCGCTTCAGGTTCTAAGGGCCGTGGCTTCAGCCCAGGAAGGCAGGAAACCTTCAGGCCTTAAAGCCCAAAAAGCTTCAGGTTTTAAGGGCCGTGGCTTCAGCCCTGGAAGGCTAGCCAAAGTCCTACGCGGTTTGAGGCCCTGAGGGCGATCTTGTTTGCGCGGGTCGCCGCGCCATGCGTTTATAGAGGGTCCAAATTTGTTGCGGGGGCCCCCTAAAGAAACAAAGTGCAAAAATAAATCCCTGAAACTCTTAAACCGCTACACCCTTACACTCCTCAAGCCCCTAAAATCCCTAAACCCCTAAGACCTGAGACCCTGAACACCTAAAGCCCGTGAAGGGATACAGAGTCGGACTGAAGGCTGGAGGGCATCCCGAGCAGATTGAAATAACAACACGAATCCCCGAAGCTGTTCTGTAAACCTAAACCCTAAAATTTTAAAACCTAGAACCCTAGAACCCTAAAACCCTCAAACCCAAAAAGCCCTCAAACCCTAAAAACCTCAAACCCTCAAAGCCCAAAAACCCTAAAACCCAAAACCCAAAAACCCAAAAACCCCAAAAAACCTAAAACCCTAAAACCCTAAAAGCCTAAAGCCCAAAAACCCGAAACCCTAATCCCCAAAGAGAAGGGGCCTGCGCTGCTCGAAGCTCCTCTGACAGGCCCATGGGAAGGGTGTGCTGGCCTGAGGCGCATTTCTTTTTTGGGGCGGGGGGGTTTAGGGTTCTAGGGTTCTAGGGTTCTAGGGTTTAGAGTGTGGGGTTGAAAGGCTGCACACGACCCTTAACCAGGGCACCACGGTGTGTTTCGGGTTAGGGCTGGCAATGTGTGGACTTCTATGGGACCAAACACTCGAGCCCTACAGCGCCCCTACAAACACTGAACACGCTCAGCCCTGACCACAAGTGCGGAATGCCTGAAAATCCTGAACCCAAAAAAGTATGTTGGACCTGAAACCCTAAACGCCCTAAACCCCAAACCCTAAACCCTAAGCCCTAAACCCTAAACGCCCTCAACCCTAACCCTAGAACCCGAGCCCGCCGCGGTCGCAGAGAACGCGTGGGCACGTCCCGAAGACCGCTTTGAGGTACTTGTCGCGCATGGCCTGCGCTTAACTACATGGCCTACTTGGACGCCCCTTTTGAGTTTTGTAAGTCGGGTTGGTAAGGTGGGTTATGGGGATTCTGACGGGGTTTCTAGGAATAAACAAGTAGACTTACTAAGCTTCAAAGTAGGGGCCTTAACGGGGGGGAGGGGAGCTCGTTTCGGGGGGATTTTGGGGGCTGACACGGGGTTGAGGGGCTTAGGATATTTTCGGGGGTGAAGGGCTTAAGCGTTTGGGGTTGAGAGTTGAGGGTTCAGAGTTCATCTTTCCCAACGCTCAGGCGCAAGCTCTCCAAAGGCTTGAGCTCCAGCAGCATTTTGAGCGTTTAGGGCAGCGTCAAGTTCGAAACACGCAAACGGGACATCCTTCAGTCTGGCGGATCGGAAAAAATGTTACCTCATGTATTCAGAAACCCCAACCCATGGAGGCTGATCTCACCGCCCGGCTACGACTAGTACGACGACTGCACCTCTGCTCATGCTGCTTGCTGCTACTCCTACGACCACGAGACTACCAATAGACAAATACCAGCCTCCTGCCTACCTACCTGCCAAGCTACCTACCTACCTACCTACCTACCTGTCGCCACCTATCACTTCTGCTAACGATACGAATGCACGGCCACTGCCACCACAACCAACCACGGAAAATGGAACACGCATACATAAGCAAACGTAAAGATCGTAATACCATCATCATCATCATCATCATCATCATCATCGTCATGATCAAAACCATTCTCAGCAGCTGCAACAGCAACAGCAGCATCATCCTCATCATAGGACAGGCCCACGACAGGTGACGGCGTAGGGCACCTGCAGCCCTCTCGGAGAGACGATGTACCGGGCATGGATGAGGCCTGTGTCGCAGGATGGGGCGGGCGAGGAGGGGGGGGGGTTTAGGGTTCAGGGTTCAGGGTTTGGGTTTAGGGTTTAGGGGTGCAGGTTCTTTAGGGGAGCTTCCGTCACAGATTCTGCCACTCCTGTCTTTGTTAGCGAGCTCCATGCTGCGTGCTCAGCATCTCGTCCGTTGAGAAGCAAAGCCTCCACAAAGAACTCCACAAACATCTCCCCCCACCAAAAACCCTAAACCCCACACCCCAAACCCCGAACCCTAAACCCTAAACCCTAAACCCTAAACCCTAAACCCTAAACCCTAAACCCTGCTAGGCTGAATGGTTGGCAGGATCTATGAAACCAAACTCTACAAGCCTGCCCCTCCCTAAACTCCTAAACCAGCAAGCCCCTACACCTTCAACCCTAAGCCTTGGGATGTTCCCCCTTCTACGGGTTCAGCCCTTAGTAGGGCGTAGCCCACACCATAGTCCCTGTGAAGGACTCTTCGTCTAAGGGGGAACATCCCAACCTAAACCCCGTAAGCCACAGACCACTGCCAACAACAAGATAAAGCTTGGGGACCGAGCCATATAAGTCGGCGGCATCCCTGGCAGGTGTGGCGAGGTGGAGTCCTACCGGGGATCCTGAAATCCTAGGAGCCGAAGACGGCTCCTTAGTACCCCAAAACCCTCAACTAGGGTTGAAGGGTTGCTCTCGAGGGTTAGGGTAGGGTTGATCTCAAACATAGCTTTAGGGTGAAGGGAGTAAGGTTTAGCGCTGGAGGCTCAGTGTGGAAGGTCTAGGGTTTGGGGGGGGGGGGGGGGGCAGGTAGATCCATTTTGCCTTGTTGACTGCATTCACTTCCTTGTTGGGTAAGAGTAGTCAGGTTGGTCTGGAGAACCCTAGACTGAACCCTAAACCCTGAACCCCAGAAAAAACAAAAAACAACTCTGAGAACTTAGGGTGTGGGCGAGATAAGGATCCCAGAACCATCCAGAACCCTAAGCCCCCCCCCCCCCCCACACACCCCCTTTGCAAGCCCGAAACCCTAAACCCTAAACCCTAGCTTTTATTTATTGCTATTTTACTTTTTTGTTTTTTTTTTTTTTTTTTTGGGGGGGGGGGGGGGCGGAGGCCTGTAGATCTCCAGGAACTCCGTGTCTGCCAGATCATCATCTTCAGGAGCCTGAGTGGAGGTTAGGGTTTAGGGTTTAGGGTTTAGGGTTTCGGGTTTCGGGTTTAGGGTCTAGGGTTCAGGGTTTAGGCTTTAGGGTCTAGGGTTCAGGGGCTAGGGTTCAGGGTCTAGGGCTTAGGGCTTAGGGCTGAGTTAGCAGGGTTTCAGGGTTTCGGTTTGGGGTGCTTCGGGTCCGGTCTGACCGGCGCTGGGATGGGTTTCTTTGCTTCGTGAGTTTGCGACCGTCCCGCCGCATGAAGCTAGTACAGAGCCCTCTTGAGCCTTAAGGCTTAGGTCTGCAAACCCAAAGAACAAGTACCTTCACATCCTGAACCCTCAGCCAGGCACCGCAACAAATCTGAAACCCTGGCGCCTCCTGTAGCAACTGCAAATGGGGTTTACGATGATACGGGACCCCTATCCAGACCCCCAATAGTAGGATACCGTCATAATCAGGACCCCAATAAGGTACCCCATAATATCGTAAACCCCCAAATAGACCCTCAGCACCCCTAAACCCTAAACCCTAAACCCTAGACCCTAAACCCAGAGCCCCCGAAAAAAACAGAGAGAAGCCTCTGAGGAGAGAATCATCTCGAGGGCATGATCGTAGAACTGAAAGCGCCTCGGAACAAAAAGGCAGAGCTTTTGCTTTTCGTGGCTTTCGAGTTCTGGGGCTTGGGTTGGGGACTTCTTGGGGCCTTTGGGGTAGGGGGGAGGGGAGGGAGCGGGCTACTTGTGTAGCATCGGCTTCGTTCAAATTGTCGGATTTCGGCTTGGGAAATGGACTGACTGGCCACAGTTTCAAGGGAGGCTACTCAGGCGTTTTTGACCTAGTTATTGGCCCCTAAGCCGTCCACCCTAAACCCGAAATCCCAGGCCCCAGTATCGTGCATGTTGTTCAGCGGCCTGTAGGCACACTCCCTAGGCCCTCACGCTGGTTCCTCAATGACCCAAAGGCCTTACGGCTTTAAGCCTTCGAGTCTGTCACCCCTAGACAGCCGCGATCTCTCAGCGTCTGCGTTTTGCGTGCTTTGACTTCAGATAGCTACCAAGGGCCAGAGGTCGATTAACATCCGTCCCCAAGAATCCTACATTGCTTCAGAGCTGATGAAGGAACCCGACGAACAACTGAAAACCCCCTGTGGGCCCCCGAGCTGTCTTAGGCCATAGAGATTGAAATTGTCCCGGACCTGTGGGAACAGAAAGGTGAGACTC